GAACAATGGACATGGACAACAAAATTGGGGACCGGGTGGAAAGGGAGAGGGACGGGGGAACCAGTGGGGGGTTTTTTTTTACTCCCATTTTTTTACTCCCATTTTTACTACACATTTTTACTACAATGATTAAGTTTTAGCGTCAAAGAAAAAGATTTCCTTCCTTCCTTCCTCCCTCCCTCCCTCACTCCCTCCCTTCCTTCTACTTATTTTAAAAATCTCATTCAGGTGTGGAATCTGAAAATCTGGATCCAAAATGCATCTGGGATTGGCAGCAGTCCACTGCCTTCTGTGCTCCAGGGATTAAAGAGAATAACTCTCAGAGCTGATAGCATGGTCTAGTCCAGGCCAGTTTCCTTTAGAAATAATCAACAGGTGAGTAGATTTCAGTATGCAGAGAGGGGTCCAAAGGTGGGCCCCGCAGCTGAGGGGCTGCACCAGCTCCTTGCAGGGGCTGTCTCTGGGCCTCGCGCAGCCTCTCCAAAGGAAAGAGTGGGTGGTATTTCAGTGAACAGCTTCTCATCCACTATCCAGAGGCCTCATTATAACTGAAAAGACATTTAGGGTGTCTGCTTTTGGGCTGTGAGATTACACTGAGACTTCCCAGCAAATCATTCACAACAAATGCAGGTGGGCCTACGGAATCTTGAGTAATTTTTAAAAGCATATGATTTGGACATTAAAAAATCTAGGAATTATATAGTTCTAACCTTTATTTTAAATATCTGAGGCCCAAAATAAATAATATGTAGAAGTACCTTATTACTCAGAATATTAACCATATTTTAATTGTTTTAGGAGACTTTTCCTTTCTGTGTTCTGCTACCCACATTTAAAACACACCATTCTTGCCCTGGTCAGTGTGGCTCAGTGACTGGAGCATCGGCACACACACCAAAGGGTCAGAGGTTCGATTCCTGGTCAAGGGCCCATACCCGGGTTGCAGGTTCAATCCCTGGCCCCGGTTGGGGTTTGTGTGGGAGGCAACCAATCGATGTCTCTCTTTCATGTCGATCTCTCTCTCTCTCTCTCTCTCCTCCCTCCCTCTCTTTCACGCTCTCTAAAAATCAGTGGGAAAAAAAATCCTCAGGTGAGGATTAATAAAAGATGAATAAATAATACAATTCTCATTTACTTATGTGTTTACAAATTAACAACTTTCTAATTTAAATATACATTTTTTTCAGTGATATACTGGGATTAAATTCTTATCCTTTAATTCCTTATTAGCAGCTTTCAATTGTTGGAAATATTTTTCTCATTTTCAGAATTTAACCAGAGAGAAATGTCAGATTTAGTATCTTCTTTAAAAATCCACCTACATCCTATTTAAAACTATACCTATGAGAAAATGGAGGAATGCTTTTTCCTTCTAATAATCTTATATTAACTTTTATTAGTAATGGTTGTATTAATAATATTAAACCTCATTCCAATATACATAAGTGTATTCTATAATAGGTTGGCTTTACCTCACTAATACAATTCTTTAAAACCAGAAAACCTAACTAGATTACATATCTGAATTAGTATTAGAACATTTTATTTTACCACTTGTTATACACAGAGAAAACCATGGCAAGTCTCTAAATGATAACACCTTCTCCGCCGCAGAGGGAAACATGGTGGAATTTCTGACCAGGAAAGTTGCTAGTGGTTCTTCCCAGTAGCCCTGCAATCACTGTAATGCTGAAGAAAGCCAGAAAGATGCCGGCTCCCTGCAGCCTGGAAATGCCTGTACCCAAGTGAGCAGCTCAAGCAACTCAAAACCCAAAGGACTGTGGCACACCAGTCAGGAAGGACAACCTCAACAGAAGTGGAGCCAACCTCTCTCCTGCCGGCCTGCACAAGTGAATAGGAGCAGTTTTGTCATTAGAACAGCAAGAGAAGCTCATGGCCATGGAGCTAGCCTAAGTCACCTTCTTCTAGGCTTTTTAAAGCTGACGAAACTGGGAATCAACACAACTATATGACTTGGCCCAGGTCATCCTAGCAGTTACAAACCAGGGTAACTGTGACAGGCAGAGGCCTGTTCTCTTAATACACCCCTCTTGACACAGAAGGACTCCCAAAACAAGTCACCCTGGAGGTCCAAACCACAGCTGCAATAGCTCTTCAGTCCCTGGACACTCACCCTCAACCACCTGACCCTGGTGAAACCATCACAAATAATCGAAAGCTGGAATATGAATAGACAGATATTGTCAACACTTCCTCTGACTTATCTCCTGAAGATTACCTCTTCCAAACACAGGTAAAGAAGTAATACCCCACCAAGTGGGACCATCCTCAGAATATGCAAGCTTCTTACTAGGGCAGGAAGCATGTCATTCATTCTTTTCTCACCCCTTAGAGCAGGGGTGGGGAACGTCTGGCCGCAGGGCCTTACAAGGCCTGAGAAATCAATACCAGCTAATATCACACACCTCACCAAATTAGCCTGACCAAATATAGCAGACTAATTTTTACGTTAATAATTTTGTATGGCCTGAGAATGATGTTAGAAATATCCAAATGACCCTTGGCAGAAAAAAGGTTCCCCACCCCTGCTATAGCAATGGTTCTCAATGGAGGGGCCTAGGGAGGGGTTTGAAATCCAATGAGACATACCTGGTTATCAGAACTAAGAAATACCAATGAGATTTGGTGGGTATAGTCCAAGGACATTAGGATATCCTTCAATGCAGGGGACAGTCTAAACTAACAAAAATATCTTCCTGTACAAAGTTCAAGTGTCCCAGTCACACAAGTGAAAAAACATGCTTCTAATTCTCTGAGTCCAGAATTTTACTCCATTCTACATTTATACACAAAATATTTTTGGATAGTTGTAAAACTTGAATTTACCAGGAAAAAAAATTAAATTTTGCTTTATTTGAAATTTCATCAAAATTGCTCGTGCCCTGGCCGGTTTGGCTCAGCGGTTAGAGGGTTGGCCTGCGGTCCACAGAGACCCGGGTTCGGTTCCCGCTAAGGGCATGTACTTCGGCTGCAGTTTGTCCCCGGCCCTGGTCAGGTCGTGTGGGTGGCGGCCACTCGATGTGTCCCTTTCACGTCGATGTTTCTCTCTCTCTCTCTTCCTCTCTCTCCCTCACACTATATCTGAACAAAATATCAAAAAATGTCCTCGGGTGAGGATAAAAAAAAAAAAAATTGCTCGTTATTTTATACTACTCCATCACCAACTATCATGGGTCACCAGGACTCAGCCTGGGAGGTTGGGCATCTGGCCTATCCGCTGCCTCCTTAGGTAACTAATCCAACCATTCATATTGAGATACATGTTTTTTGTTATACACTGCTATTTGTTATATCCTTGTTTCTCCTTCCACTGCACCTAAGACACTGTATTCAAATTATAATTATAAATTATATTTTCTAAATATTGCGTTTTAGAATAAGAGGGCATTATAAAAAAAATTATTCTTAAAAAAAGCATTGGGTCTGATAGGTTTGAGAGTCACTGCCCGCACAGAGGACATGCTCAACACATGCTTGCTGGGAGCAAACACATGGGTGATCTGTTAGGACAAAACATAAGCTGGGGCAAAAGGCCCTGTCTCACAGCAACGCCATGGACTGCCCAGTTCCCCTCTGGGGAAGGAGATCCCCAGAGTCCCTGACCCCAGTTGCAGGTCAGGTGTAGGGGCCATGCTGTGTCTCAAACACACCAGGACACTTCTGAGAGTTAAAGGAGGCATTATTAATTATGCCCACCCAGCAGGTGTCATCCACAGCTGTCCCAGACAAACCACAACAGGTGGCCACCTTGAAACCGAGGCATGTTTGTGAGCATCCCAAAACCAACCAGGCACCTCTCCTCAAGCCCACATTCCCATGAAAAGTCTACAAAGGCCCCAATGCTGCTTCTGTCCCCAGAGCACATGAGCAGGGCAGAGCCCAGCTGACCCTGGCAGCAAAGCCAGCTACTGTCCTTCCTTCTCACTGTGGCTGCCATTCCTCTGTATCTACCATGACGCCACCCCACCCCTCAGCATCCCAGTGCCCTCCCTCCTCACCAACACACAGGGCAGGAGGCAGTAGTCTGTCCACAGAACCACAACAGAAGAGCCCTCAGTAAAAATGCTTTAAGCTCTCATCAAGTAAAAAACCAATTTTGCCTCTGCCACAAATATGGCTTCTTTGTAGCCAGCTATGAGAGAGCACAAAAAGGCCAATAGGACTAAAGGAACTGCTGCCCAGAGCCTGAGCTGTAGCTCAACTCGGGAGCTCAAGCAGGTGACAGGGTGCTGTGGACTAACGAACATACAAACAGGTCAAAGACTTTGAGGCATCTATCCAATCTAACCAAATTCTTCATAAAGATTCAATTCAAACGACACATACACTACTACACATCCCACTAAGATAAGGATCTAAATTTTTTTTTCAGCAAAATGAAAACTACAGATGTGAATGAAAAGTTTTATATACTCAAGTAAAATTTATAAATACTAATATGGAGAAAAAATATCAACAAACTTGCCAGATAGGGGGGAAAAAAGAAAAGAAAGAAGAAACAGTCTGCCTGGTGGCTCAGTGAATTGAGCGCTGTCCCATGGACTGAGAGGTCCTGGTTCGATTCCCCGTCAGGGCACATGCCCAGGTTGTGGGCTCAACCCCCAGTGGGGGACATGGAGGCAGCCAATCGATGTGTCTCTGTCACATCAGTGTTTCTATCTCTCTTCCCTTCCTCTCTCTCTAAAAAAAAAAAAAAATCATTAAAAACACACAAAAAAAGGAAAAGAAACAAACGCACATCTTCAAAGATCTGATGGGTTACCTCCAAAGAAAAGATGCACCAGTATGGTTTATGTGAGAAAAAAAATGTGAGGATGACTCTGAGCCGGTCCAGTGGGGTGCCATGTGTTTAGTTTGGGTCTAAGGGAAACAGGTGCCGTGAAGTTGCGGAGGCAGCTGCCCTCGTGTGCACTACAACGTGGGTAACCACACGGGGCACCTGGTGAGGAGGTGCCCACAGCCCACAGGTCTGTTCTTACCATCGCACTTTGTTGCACGTCTGTGTTGCGCCGAGAGGGGAACCCGCCACCATGGGGACTTGGATGGGGCTGTGCTGCTTGTTTGTGACCAGATCCAGCTTTTCTTCCAATGATTTACAAGTAGCCTCGAGAGCTTGCAGCTTGGCTTCAATGCTATCCAATCGTAAGCATATTGTCTGGTTAATGGAATACAGGAATGACTGGAAGTGAAAAAAAGAAAAACTTCAGAAGGGATATCTTGAACTTTAAAGAGAAAGTTCCAAGGAACACCAAACGGCTATTTCCTTATTGAATCCTATTACTCCAAAAGGACAATTCCTGCACTTCAGCTCTTTGGTTATAAGCCAGAAACATTTGAGTAAACACGTTCAACCTCTTGTATGTAAAACGTAACTACCGCCCTGGCCAGTTTGACTCAGTGGCTAGAGTTTCGGACCGAGGACGGGAGGGTTGTGAGTTGAATTCCCAGTCAAGGACGGGCGCATACCTTTGTTGCAGTTACATGCCTGGCTCTGGTCGGGTCATGCAGGAGGCAACCAGTCGATGTGTCTCTCTTGCATCAATATCTCCCCCCGCCCCCCTCTCTCCTACCCTCCCTTTCCATCTCCCTCCCTCCCTCAATCTGAAAAACTCAATGGAAAAATATCTTCCGGTGAGGATGTTTTAAAAAGTGACTACTTAAATCATGGTTTTACTTCTATGTGTAGTTGTGATCCTTAGTAACGCTTAAGTCCATATGATAAAAATGTACATAGTCTTTAGAATGTTCATCTATTAAACAGCAAATTTATACATAAAACTAGTCACATCTTTCTAACTATTAAAAACACATTTACATGTAACATCAAAACAGCATGGAAACCACTGGTCCTACACATTCACATTATCCCCACTGCCCTGAGGTTGAAATTTGGTCAAGTTATGAACGGTATGCCTGCCACCTACTGGTCGACATGAAGAACAGCCTCACACTCGATTATCATTTGAGCCAAGTCCAATTGACCATAGTAAGCAGAGACATTCGTGACTCCAGACCCCAAAAACGGATCAAATACACACACCAGACAGGAAAGCTCTTCACTTCCCACAACTGCCATTCCTGCCCTGAGTCAACAGGAAAACAGATAGAAGCATGTTTTCAGGTAAGACTTCCACTGTGCAGCGAACACCCTAAGCTGATCTCACCAGCTGATAGAAGGATTCAGGTGCTAGTTAGGAGCAATTCCGTAAAGCATCCAATAGCTCAACTCAGTAGGAAGGCTGGCTTGAGAGTCAACAGCTGAAAATAATGAAGAATCTGCCTTTCATCTTTCTCTCTGCTTGTCTGCCCACAGTAAAAGGTGGGCTCTGTTAGACTCACAGGACATGCCATCTAACTGCTGCTGGTCTGCAACATTATCTAGGGCTGCTCTCCTTCTAGCTTCTAATCTGAAGCAGAAGAGCAAAATTAGAGCAATATCACATCATGCAGCTGGCATCAGCCTGGGAGAAGAAAAGAATGGATACTCTTATTCAGTGCATTTTCAACAGAATGAGCTTATCTTGTGAAGAAGTTAAAAGCATTTGTCTGACTACCTAGTAGATGTGGCAGTAAGGGCAGCAATGCAGTAAACAAAACCCACACACTGTCCAAACAACTCTGTCTCAAGCAATCGCGTCCCCAGATGAGTCTCATCATGAATGCTAAACATAAAGCAAAGGGCTAATCTCCATGTCCTCTGCTGACTGCCTTCAGGAGAATTGGACATTGAAGCAAGTATGGGCCAGGGGACCAGGCAGAGACACACCCACTGCAGACATTCCATCACCTGGGATCTACAAAGAGGTAACTGGTCCACCCCAATGTAAGTCACCATTAGAACTACTCATTGGTGGCTGCATTCTCACAATAAAATCACTTTTAACACCAATATTCCTTATCATTTGCAAACATCAAACATTTGGCTCTTGAATTCTTAAAATAGAGTCAAGCCTTATTAATTCTAAATTACAAATGATTCTGCCTGGGGTTTGGGAAAAATTCACTGTTATGTACTAATAAAATAATTATCAAACAAATTAATAATACAAAAGAAGACAGAGAATCATATTTTTCAATGACTTTTACACAAATGATATTAGCCATAAACATTCAAATCTATTTATTGAATAGTTCTTGGCAATTTAGTGAGCATACTTTTTCAAACAGTACACACATGGCAATATTCAAACCATATCCCAAAGTCTAACTCACTGACAGTGGAACTAGGTCTGAAGCAAAGCCACTTAACATTTTTTACTTTATACATTTCTGTATTGTTTACATTTATAATGAATATCTCTCTGGTAGTGTCACTAATTTACTTGTAATTTGGTGTTACTAATGCAGCTGCCTTCTATCCATTAGTACAAAACATAAATTTAACTGTGAATATACTTTTAAATCACCTACATATTTAAGCTTACACTGCTTCCCCTTGTTAACAAAATTGTTACATTTTGGGGGCCATGGATGTTTCTAAACAGACACCCTGTATAAATAGAGGGATTATAGAAAAAGCTACTATGGTTCTCATCTGCATTTCTTTCTTAAACTTTTCACATGTGCTGATATTTATTTCCATGACTCCGTAAACACTAAACCAAAAAAGTAAATCCAAAATCACCGACTGACTGACTCAGTGGTTTCCAAGACCACATTTAGTAAACTTTAAAATTTAGGTGACTTAAATGGTAGCTACAGAAGTACTTTGTAGTCACTAGTGGGAAATAGTAGCCACACAAATTGTTCTCTTTCCTTCGTCCACAACAGGTCTGTGGTTCTACAGGGAGATGCCTCATGTGGCAGCAATCTCAATCTAAACAGTGTTGGTTCTTCATAATCTTTAAAGGGGGGAAGTGGCTTTATGTACTATATAGGGGGCAGAACAGTGACTCCAAAAACAATACATCTACATCCTAACCCTCAGAATTTATAAATGTGGTCATATTTGGAAAAGGGTCTCTGTAAATGTAATGAAGTCAAGGATCTACAGGTGAGATCTTCTTGGACTAGAGTGACCCCTCAATTCAATAACAATACCCTTACAAGAGAAGAGAAAGGGAAACAGAAACAGGGAGGAGGCCATGTGAGGACAGAGGCAGACTGGAGTGATGCAGTCACAAGCCAAGGACCATCTGTGGCCACCAGAAGCCAGATGAGGCAGGAAAGACCCTCCCCTGAGGCCTCTGGAGGGAATGCAGTCCTGCCCACACCTTGCTTCCAGACTTCTGATCTTCAAAGCTGTGAGAGGATAGATTTCTATTGTTTTAGGCTCCGCAGTTTTTTTTTGTTTGTTTGTTTTATTAAAAAATAATTTTTCTTTATTGATTTTAGAGAGAGAAGAAGGGAGAGGAAGAGAGAAACATCAATGAAAGAGAACATCGATTGGCCGCCTCCTGCATGCCCCCCACTGGGGATCGGGCCCACAGCCTGGGCATGTGCCCTGACCAGGAACTGAATCGGCAGCCTCTTGGTGCGTGGGTCGGTGCTCAATCACGGAGTCATACCGGCCAGGCCCCAGTTTTTGACAGCCCTAGGAAACTAAGATATAACTAATAAAATATTTTTACCTTTATAGAGGGGTCCTGGCAGTTGATCTCTAACCGTTGACGTTTCAATGCTGGTTCATCTTCGTCGGTCACTACATGATTCTCCAATACAACTGAAAACCAAAGGCAGAAACAAAGACTTAAACTTTACTATGAAATACTGTACAGACTGTTTTAATATAAAGATAGGAAACCATTCTGATACCTTAAGATTAAATGAGAAATGGTACAATCTGTTTCATATTTTACCTTTTTATAATTTTAACTTAAAACTCTCAGAGAGAAAACAGGATCTCTCCTTAATCTCAAGAAAAACTGAGATACTGGACAAACAATTTCCCTAATGTGCACTGGGTTGAGCCTAACTCCAAAACTACAGGTGTCTCATTCAATGTTCTATTAAGCTACCCTGCTTGCATTTCAGCATAATAAAAACCAAATCAATAATAATGATATTTTCCCAACTTTAAAGTCTTGTCTGTTGGCTACTTCATTTCAAATTGAAAACCTTTCTGGTTATTACATCTTCTTAGGTGTTGATCATCACACAGTCCCAAACTGAGCACACTGAGTTACATAGAAAGCTACTCCACGTTGCTGCTGACATCAATGCCTCCCATCAGCAACTTGCAGCTGATCTTCATGGCTTCCCCACAGACAAGAGGCTCGGCTCCCATTCAAGGCCTGCCACAACATGGTCCCAACCGCCTTCCCTGCATAGAAAATTAGCTACAAAAACAATATTAAAGAGAGCCACAAAATCAGAGACCAAACTATCCACAATCGCATCATTCTGCAAACCAAGTTTCTCTGTTCCTTACCGCTTGCTCTAGACCTAGTCAATAGCTAAACATTTTCCTATCAGCAATTATAGATAGAATTTCATATTCATCATTTCTTATTGAACATACTATGAGTACTTTTCCATTTTCCATTTTTTTCCTTCTCCTCTCCTTGCCTGAAATTACCAATGATAGCTCCTGATGTATTTCTTCTCACCTCTTCCTACAAGTTCACACATGGACACAAACGTATTACATATCTACCAGAGGGCCTAGGCCATCTTACATCAATAGAACTGTCTGCATCTTTCATCTTTACTTAGCAATGTAATGTGAACAGCCCTCCCAGTTCCTGGCTTTAACTCACTTTTTAACAGTAGTAACAGTTTGTGAATCTACGATACAGAAATGAGTACCAGTGTATGAGAATGTATATTATATAAATATACATATAGAACATGCATATTATAATATTGTGTATGTATACATGTGGACACAGAAGTGTGCTTATTGTAGCACTTGTGGGAGAGTGCCCACCCATGGACAATACACTATGGTGCTTGCACACTTTGGCATATCATAAGTCTTCCTTTCAAATGCTCCCCATGCTACATTCGAGCAGGATAAACTCTGTGAACAGACAATGCCTGCCTCACTTGGACAGTGCTGTCTGACCACGTCCCAGCTCTTCCCCCTCCGATCTTCCCTGTACCCACAGCTGCCCAACCACCTCCATGCAAGAAAATCTATGCCCCTTCCACCCAGACCCACACGGATGCTGGAACTAATGCCTGCTCGTGTTGTGACACCAGCAGTGGCACAATGACTAACCCCAAATGCAGACCCCCCCCCAAGCCCTCTCACAAGGCTGTCCACAGATGTGGACACAGCACATCTGGCTGGCATTCGATTTCTTATCTGCTAAGGGAAGGTCAGGGGCAAGCACAGGGGAAGCCAAGTGCACAGGTCACTATGGCCCAGCCCCCACCTCAATCAAAGCACCTCTATCTACTTCAATAGGCTATATATGTGAAGTTCCAAATAAGATGTCGAGTTTTGCCCTGGCTGGTTTGGTTCAGCGGTTAGAGCGTCGGCCTGCGGTCCAGAGAGACCTGGGTTTGGTTCCTGCTAAGGGCATGTACCTCGGCTGCGGTTTGTCCCCGGCCCTGGTTGGTCATGCGGGTGGCAGCTACTCGATGTGTCCCTTTCACATCAATGTTTCTTTCTCTCTCTCTCTCTCTCTCTCTCTTCCTCTCTCTCTCCCTCCCATTCTATCTGAACAAAAAATGTCCTCGGGTGAGGATAAAAAAAAAAAAAAAAATGTCGAGTTTTTTTAAAAAACATGTCAATGACTTTATGCCTATACATACTAAATGATTTCATCTCAAAACTCGTAAGTGTAAAGATACTGCATAGCCCTATGACTCTAACACGAACCTTTCATGGTGTCTAGGCAAGAGTAGTAAAGTGATCTCCCAGAGATGATTACCCAAAGCTCCTCTGCAGAAACCAGCCAAGAACCAGCAATAACAAAGGGCATCCTGTCTACTAAGATCCTTGCATTATCCACTGTGGATCCTGTGTGGCAGGAAATGCCTCAACCACCTCCAAAGAAATAGATGAAAATGAATGCTCATTTAATTAAGTAAAAGTGGGGGAGCCCTGGCTGGTTTGGCTCAGCGGTTAAAGCATCAGGCTATGGACCAAAGAGTCACAGGTTCAATTCTGGTCAAGGGCACGTACCTCAGTTACATTCCGGTCCCTGGTCGGAGTCATGCAGGAGGCAACCAATCGATGTGTCTCTCTCACATAGATGTTTCTTTCTCTCTCTCTCCCCCTCCCTCCCTCCCTCCCTCCCACTGTACCTGAAGATAAATGGGAAAGTATCCTTGGGTGAGGATTTAAAATAAATAAATAAATTCTTTTAAAGGGGAGAAATCCATGCCTATTAGCGTTTGTGGTTAGCAAAACACAGGTTCTCAGAACCTTAGTCACAGCCTATTTACCTCTGTAAGAAACTGGTCATTATACTGGGACTAGGAGGACAGAGAGAAACCCTGCGATCATTATTCTAATCATTTTAATTTACTGAACAGAAAACAAGGTCACAGATGTTAAGCGACTTTCCCAGGGACACAGATGGCTCCTGTAACTACAGAGAGAAGGCTCCATGCCCCTGGCGGTGTGAAGCACCGAGGCTGGAAGCAAAGGGCAGTGCAGCAGAAGTGTAAAAGGAGATGTGTCCATGGCAGACGTCACAGGCTCCAGCATTCAGCAGCAACTTCCCGTTGGCTACGGGACTGCAAGATCTTTTCCTCTTTGTCCTTTGCTGCGTTGCTTTTTATAATTTTGTGTGCATTACTTTCAGAATTAGAGTAAAGAACTCAATATTCATGTTAAAGCCGTCACAATCTACTGGAATGCTAGGTCTGGTGACGGTTACATGCAGACAGGTGAAGTAAGTGCAACTGCATGGTGAGTACATGTAAAACCAGAACCTAAACGTTGTTTTTCATGGAAATCAGAACAAAATGGAAGGACATATATGCCAACAATTTAAAAGCATTTCTATTGCTAGGATTATGGAAAATGTTTCTTCTACTTGTTTAACTGTACTTTTAAATTTCACAAAGGTCGTATTTTAGAGATGGGGGAAAAATAATCTCGATCTTAAAACCATTCTGAATGCAAACATGTGTAATACACCATGGTATTTGCTGGGTGTGTGCAAGTTCTTTTGGAAATTGCAGGCTTTCTGCCTATGAAGGCCTCAGAAAGCTCTGCACACAGGTTTTCATTAAATAGTCAATAAACTGTAGTCCCCAGTTATTTAAGGAACAGAGATGGAACAAAACAAGATCAGAAATGACTGTTCTAACTAAGCCTTCTTTGGACTACCATCTACAAAGAGGGAATTTATGTAGGAAGTTAGCTAAAAGAATTTTATAGTTCTAAAAATGCTTAAATTTTATGTAACTGGAACGTTTTTCTTTTATAACATTGTAGTGTATACTTTCTTTTTCTTTTTTTTATCCTTATCCAAGGACATTTTTTTTCATTTTTTTGTTCAGATAGAGTAGGAGAGAGAGGAAGAGAGAGAGAGAGAAAAAAACATCGACGTGAAAGGTACACATCGAGTGGCTGCCACCTGCATGACCCAACCAGAGCCGGGGACAAACTGCAACAGAGGTAAGTGGGAACTGAACCTGGGTCTCTCTGGACCGCAGGCCAACGCTCTAACCGCTGAGCCAAACCTGCCAGGGCTGCAGGGTGTACTTTCTAAAGAAACAATTGTTCACCTACCAAAATACAGATACATTTATTTATTTATTTATTTATTTATTTTATCCTCACCCGAGGACATTTTTCCATTTTTTGTTCAGGTAGAGTGGGAGGGAGAGAGAGGAACAGAGAGAGAGAGAGAAACATCGATGTGAACGGAACACATCGAAAAATACAGATACTTTTAAATTGCTATATGCAGTGATGGTCCTGCTTCTTTTTTAAGTTCAAAGGTAGCTAAGGTGTGGTGCTAATGAGGTAGAGGCTACAAGTTCTAGCTCTAGACAAAGTGTCAGTTTTTATAGAGAAAATCGTAGTGGAATAGCTATACTCACATCCCCAACTTTGTTCAGGAATTTGTTAAGGTTCTAGATTTTGCCAGTTAACAAGTGATAGTGCTTCTTACTAAAAAATCAGAAGCAGCTTTTGGCTCTCTGGAAAAGTGCCTTCATTTCTTTGACTGCTCGTTTAATTCCAAAAGTATTCCGTATCATCACTAATTTCCTAAGGAAGTTTTTTTCAATTAACATATCAAATAAATCATATAAGATAGACATCATGCTTTCTTATTAAATTTCTAAAAATTCTCTTTTCTATGGAAAAATAATTCAGCATTTCAATTCTACTATTCTAAAAAGCAAAAAGAGGCAACAGACACAGTGACAATTATGTGTACTTGTGACTACAAACTTAGACATGTAAAACTTTAAGGTCAAAAAAGAGGAGGAAACTTACTAAAACATCTTTTTATAAAGTAAAAGTGTAGACAAAGTTTTTTCAAAGGTGAAGTTCTTGAAACCTACAGTTTCCTTTATAAAGAGTCTTCTTTAAACAAATATTTAGTTCAGGTTTCAAAGTGGACATATACCTTTAACATCATTAAGGCTAAGTACCAGCCTTAGCAAATGTGTAGGGAAAAAAGTTATTCTCACTCAGCTGATGGAAAAATAACTTAGTAAAACATTTCTGGGAAATCTATCAGTGTCTTATCAAAACTGTGAACATACATAGCAATTCTACTGGGAATTTACCATAAAACACTATTTGCCATGATATACATGCAGAGATCTTTATTGCATGGGTTTATATGAAAGAAAAACAGTGCCAAAAATGTAAATGCCATCCACAAGGGAGAAGGTCCATAAATGAGGGGACACCTATAAATGAAATACTATGTAGTTGTCAAAAAATGCAGTCAATTTGTACATACTGACATGGCGAGATTCCCATGACTGTTAGAACGGTGAATTTTGAAAGGGGGAAATTGTAGGAAAGAAGCTGTCACAGAAGCCCCTGTGGGTGGGGGCAGGAGAGGGAGGCAGAGTCTCTAAGTGCCTGTGCACATCAGAGGGGGGAAGAGTAGACAGAGCGCTGGAGGGCTACCCATCTGGGAATGGGTCTTTCATACAGTGCATGCATCACTTTTTCTCTTGCTTTCTTCAAAAAGTTAAAGAAAACTTCTGGAAGCACTTTGGATTTTTACACAACAGAGAGAATAATGTCCATCTACTCTCTGTACCTGGGTGATGGGGACTCAGGTCTTCTACTGCAATCTGCACCACGTCCGCCAGATCCTGTTCTGACATCATCCAGAATGAGAGGAGAGGGAACAGTCAACGAACAAGAATCAAACTCAAGCAGGACTAGGATTCTGTCACCTACAAAATAAACACAATAGCAGAGAGGGAGATTAATGATCATGACCTGTGAAATAAAAATTGCTAACCAGACCCCACCCATGTGGCTCAGTGGATTAAGATTTAAGCATCGACCTATGGACTGAAAGGTCTGGGTTCTATTTCCGGTCTGGGCACACGCCCAGGTTGTGGGCTCAATTAGGAGGCAGCCAATGGATGTTTCTCTCTCAAGTCAATGTTTCTATCTCTCTCCCTTCCTCTCTCTAAAAAAAAAAATAATAAAAACATATTTTTAAAAAATCACAAAAGCTTAAGATTTAAAAAAACTGCTAATCATGTATATTCAAGAGGACATCAGGCCCTGGCCAGGCAGTCAGTTGACTGGGGCATCGTCCTGTGCACCAAGGTCAGTGGTTCAACTCCACGTCAGCACATCACATACCTAGTTTGCAGGTTTGATCTGTCAGGGGGTGTCCGAAAAGCAGCTGATTGATGTTTCTCCCCATTTCTCCCCCCTCACCCCTTCCTCCCTAAGATCAATAAACATATACACACATTCTCGGGTGAGGATAATAAAAATGGGGGGGGGGGGAGAACATCAGATGTCCATGAATTTTTTTAATATAGGGTTCTTCTTGCCCCAGACTACCAAAAGACTAAAGTTCTTTGAGAATTGAGAAACAGCCCAAAAACTGCTCATTGCGTCTGTCTAGCCCCTACCTGAGAGCCTCTCACTTTACCAATCTACTCCTCACACCACCTCCAAAGTCACCTTCCTAAAATGGCTTAGACATGTCATCTCCAAGACAAAAGTCCAGTGGTCCACTACTGCCCACAGAATACACCCTGTCCTCCACCTGCTCCCCATGGGGTCTCAGCTCCTGCTGCACACACAACACCCCAGAAAACCTGTTCACACTGTTGTCTCCACCAGTGACACAATTCTCACCTCCCAAATTGTACCCAAATGGGCTCTCTGACCAAGGCTATGCGCATACTCCATTTCTGCTACTCAAAGCCGCCCTCCCTGAGCTCCTCTGTTTTGCTTCCCCTTGGTTTCCAGCAGACCTGAACCGCAGGACAGCCCCACTGCTCGCCTGGGAGCACCGCTATCCTGTCCACACAGGACCTTCGGGGCTGGGCCACCCCTGGTGTGAGTTGTCATCCGTGAGCCTAGCACTGTGTCTGGAACAGAGTCAGTTACTTCTTCCTAATCCTGAAACACTGATTAGACCGAGAGAGACCTTATTTTCCAAACCAAAAATGAGGCCATATCCTTCTAAATATGATCTATCGATCAGGGATCTAAAGTTAGTACTTGAAAACAGGATGTCCTGAAGAACTCAGGAATCAATATCACCATAATATTTTTATCATATTGTACTTTATATTACTGGTTTATAAGTAAATATTCATAAAAGAAATTATGTCTTTTCCCACCTGGACTACACGCTCCCCGAGGGCAGAGGCCATGCACTCGGCTCCGCGGCACAGCCCCTCCCTTCAGTGAGAACTACTCTCCCCGGTCACAGCTCCTGTGGGGCAGGGGGAGGGCATCGAGTTTCAAGTCGGGATCTCCTGACAGCAACTTTTTATGGTAAGTTCCAACAGCATTAAATTAATTTGCAGGTTTCACACATGTTCTTAAATCCTATAAATAATGTGGTCCTCTTCTCTTTTATCCAGATTTAAATTCTACAGCTTAAACAGGGGCAGCTCCAGAATTTCGTAGGGAAGACAATTTGCAGGAGGAACCAGTCTTCTCTCTTAAATCTTCCTTTATAGAGTAAATTATATGATCAAACATTATGATTATTAAGATGGCAAAGGTGTTTTTATTCCCAGCTTACACACGTCACACAAGACTGAATGAGGTTGAGAAAACAACAACTGTTTAACAAAAAAGAAACTGATAAGACACAATCTGGATGGGGGGAAAAGGGACCTCAGAGGAACTTCGACTGAGTCCTTTAATAGTCCAACCATGGAAAGATAGCAGTAACAAAGATTTTTAATCTCCCCAAATACCCCCATAAAAACATATGGAGCAGCTAGGGATAGCAAAACCAAAATCCAGGTCAATGTCTGTATCAGAATTGAGTAGTAAGGTCTTCCCAACAAATCCCCAAATACAAGCAAGTGGGGGCACACCACTGACAGCCACAGGACCATCATGATAGAAGTGCATATGAAGCAGGAAGCAGAGAGAAGTGATGAGTCAACTTGAAAAGAGCCGCTGAAATCAGGACATGAACACAGTCCCACAGGAGACGAATGCAAGAGGTCTGCAGTAAAGCCTGGAACCTAGAACATGCTGGGCCCCATGAACTCTTAGAAATAATCATCCAAAGCTTCCTTGAGGCCAAACACACTGAAAAGAAATGACTGGGGACGAAATACAAAATAAATAGGATGGGAAAACAGTGACTGAGGCAAATGAAAACCTAAAGGTGGGAGAGAAACACCAAGCCAGCAGTCCAGAAAATGAGCTTCTACATTTTTTTAAAACTTCCTAAAAAACACAGAAAATAGAGCTCTAGAACACTGAAATTAGAAAAACTATTCTAAAGCAAGCCTCCCTTGTAAATATTCAGGAAAATTAATTCCACCTAAAAATGAACAATAAAAAATACCGAGGTCCAACTGATACAAAGATAATATATTTTAAAAGATGGCCTGGCTGGTTTGGCTCAGTGGTTAAGAGTATCGACCCACGGACCAGAGAGTCCCGGGTTCAGTTCCCACTAAGGGCACATACCTCACTTGCAGTTTGTCCTGGGCCCCGGTTGGGGTTGTGTGGGTGGCAACCAGTCAATGTGTCTCTCTCACATCAATATTTCTCTCTTTCTCTTCCCCCCTCTCTCCCTCCTGTTCTATCTGAAGATAAATGCAAAAATGTCCTCAAGTGAGGATAAAAATAAATAGAGAGAGTAAAGAGCAAAATAACATCACTACAACCAGTGAAAGCATGCTACAAAGACATGTCCTCAAGAGAGATAAAAATGCTATCCTAATATTTCAAAACAAGTTAAAATACATGAAGGAAATGATATGATATTAACAACCATAAACCATGATGAGAAAAGCTCAAAAATGAAGTGATGGAATTCAGAAAGATTAGAAACAAAAGAAAAATAATTTTGGGCCTGGCTGGTGTGGCTCAGTGGATTGAGCGTTGTCCCATGGTCTAAGAGGTCCGGGTTAGATTCCCAGTCAAATTCCCAGTCAGGGCACATGCCCAGGCTCCAGGCTCAATCCCCAGTAAGGAGCATGCAGGAGGCAGCCGATCAATATATATCCCTCACATCAATGTATCTCTTTCTCTCAAAAACAAACAAACAAAAATATTTTAAAAGAAAAATAATTTTCAAAATGAAAACTAGAAGGAATCCAAGAGTAAATAAACACAAATTACATCTTCAAAAAAAAAAAGAGAGCGAAAAGGAGGAAATTTTTAAGAATAAAAAAGAAATGAAAAGAGTTCAAGGAAAAGTAGCATAGTGACAAAGATGATCCAACATATATATAACAGGAGACTCTAAGGAAGAAACCCAAAGCAACATTCACTCAGTGTAGTATACTGTACTGCAAGAGTATCGGGAAACAGGGAAAAGAGCTGTCCTGCACTTCTGGTGGGAGTATAATAACCCTAAAGAGCAACAAGCAATACAGCCATCAAAATGCTGCTGGCCACAGCCCTGACCATGCCATTCCCCATTCAGGAATCCTTCCAGCACACAGATTCATACACCTATCTGTGCAAAGATCTACATACCAAAACAAAAACACACAACTAAGGCATTGATTTTAGCAGCAAAAGAATGGATGCAACCTAAATGTGTCAACAACAACAAAAAAAGTAGGGCACAGCCAAACAATGGAATTTCAAAGAACTGTAAAAAGGACAACTCCCAAGATGCAGCATTACATGAATATAAATGGGGCAGAATGCACACAACATGCTTTAAAAAAATATGTGTATATATATATACTAGATATGCACAGAATATCCCTAGCACATAAGGGTAAAAAGGAAATTATTTCTCACTTTTCACCCTTGTATACTTACTTGCATTTTTTATCATGTTCATGTATTATCTTTTCAAAAATTGAAGGAAAACACACTACTTTTTAAAGATGGCTAAACAACTAAATATTTAGGCATAATACAACTAAATATTTACACGTAAACTGTGGGGGAAAGTCTCAGTTCCAACCTCAGTTATATCCAGTAATATTCTCTGAACCTGGTGCCTGTGCTGAACACTGGGAGTTTCTTCAACCTTCATCCTCAGCAACTGCTCCAGGAGAACCTGTCAGGATAAGGAAACAGGTGTCGTGCTAAATCTGTGTCCTCTGAAGATGACCTCTAAGTACAGATTAACTGGTGGTCAGCTGAAGATCAAAGCTACTCATGCCATAAACTTGGTCTTTTTTCCAAATTCAGAACCAAAGCAAAGATTATTAAAGGAATACAATGAACTTTGTAATGAAGGTGGTAGTCCTCAGATAATACCACTCAAATGATATTTGACTTGATAGATTTAAAACATTTTAGAGTCACAGGCTTCTTGCTTTCGGAATCTAATGTAAAAAATAAAACAGAGAGACGGACCCTTTCCCTGGAAAGAGCACAGACAGATAAAAGTCTGCCTAGTTTCACAGGCTTCAGCAATACCAGTGAAGAGCCCTAATTTCTAGGGCCATGTGGCCACCAGAGGAAAGCTCCCCGCCTCTCCTACAACACACTGGCTACCTGACCAAGTTCGAGCCAATGAGACATGAGCTCAGACATGGTGCATGGTGCTCTAGCACCTCATCAAAGGAACTCTGGCCATGGGCATGGCCTTCCTTCTAGTCCTCCTGCTGCTGCTGGACTCAGGGATGAGGATGGGACAGGAGCTAGAATGATGGAGCAAAAAACAAGAAGGAAGTAGCCTGGGGTCCTCGCATCTGTGGAGCTTCCACACGTTCTTGACTTCCTGCTCGACTTCCTCATAAGAAAGGAAAATAACCAACTTCCTGCTTTAAAACAGTCACATGCAGCCAAGCTTAACCTAAGTGATACGCCCTGAAGCCCATTCACGATGGCCCTAGATCCACAGCTCTCAGGTTAAATACCTCTCATAAAGGTCTAGTGGAAAGTTTTCAAGAGCCTAATTCAAGCCTTTTCCTTATTTCTGAAAGCTCTGCAAGTGGCTCAAGAAAATACTCCAAACTCACCACAAAATCCTGAATCCTCTTCCAAATGAGGACACCATACGTTATCCAAGTTGTTTACTTAAAACGATTCTGCGGCCAGGATAAAGAGTCATTTAAAATTCTGCTAACAGTGAAGGCTTGAATAGAAAAAACTAGGGCAACAAGCCCAAGAAAACTGGAACAAAGCAATACATGCGGTTGCCATTTTGGCAAATAAAATTTGCCATTTCTCAGAAGTCCTGGAGACAGTCCAGTCTTAATATAATAAAACAACTGGACTGAGATTAATGTTCAATAATGTCTTTAATGGCAATGACTAGTTAGAACCCTGCTTTAAAACGACGTATTTTGGACTCTATCACATGACCCACCCTGAAGCCCATTCATGACCCATGGCTTCCAGGTAAAACACATGTCTCTCAGAAAAGGCCAGAGGAAAGTTTTCAAGGGCCCAATTCGAGATTTTTCCTGGTTTCTAAAAGCTCTGCGAGCGGCTTAAGAAAATACTCTTAACTCGCCACAAAGTCCTGAATCCTAACCCCTCAAGTGGCTGAGGAGAGCATCTTCTAGGGTGCGCATGAAAAAGGAGCCCATCAAGCAAACCAACAACCCAAGTGCTCGATCTTGGGAGTAGTATATGATGGCACACCCTGCTGTAAAACACTGCAGACATGGATGTCAGTGAGACTGGTTTGATTACATAAACCACAATGGAAAGGTCTCCAAAATATAATATTAACAGAAAGGAATATAAAAGAAAAATTGCAAAATAGTATGTATATGATCCCTATCCTGTTTTCTGAAAGTTGCATGTATGTGTAGTCACATGTCCACGTGTGTGTAAATGCACACCAGATGGTCTGAAATGATACATACTGAACTTAACGTTACCCATGAGGGAAGGAATAGAGACATGCGCTGACCTTCATGCTTGATCCTTCTGGACTGAATTTTCTATAAACCCATATTCATCTATCGCCTGTGAAACTGTTTTTCTAAAACAAAGTAATAAACTCTGGCCAGTTTGGCTCAGCGGTTGGAATGTCAGCCTGTGGACCAAAAGGTCTTGGGTTCGATTCCCAGTCAAGGGCACGAACCTGGGTTACAGGTTTGATCCCTGGCCCCGGTAGGGGTCATGCGGGAGGCAAGTAATCGATGTGTCTCTCTCACATTGGTGTCTCGTTCTCTCCCCCCACCCACCCCCACTCCCCCTTCCACTCTATCTGAAAAAGCAATGGAAAAATATCCTCAGGTGAGGATTAAATCAATCCATCAATCAATCAAAGTAATCAATATATAGCCTACAACTTGTGTGCCTCCATCACACACGGCTGTGGCCACTGACACAGATGTGCCCGAGGCTGCGGGCACAAAACAGCCCTCCCCCCCTTTGCAACACTTCTGTTCTCCTGGACCAGTGTCATACTTTCTCCTCTCCCTTCCAAATCCCAGCTCCTCCTTCCCTCAGTGAGCCAGAGATCTTGCTTTCTCTTCCTCATCAGTTCCCTTGAGCTTGGCCTTGCCACCTGTGGCTGCTATGGGCACCATCTGGCCTCACTCCTGTCCACAGGCATGCCCTCCCCTCTTCACGGCCAGGGCCCCTGCACTTCAGCAGTTGTCTCTGTCCCTCATCATCTGCCTCCCAGTTCGTTCCCAATATATACATTGCACTGCTACTTCCCCACCTCCCTCCCCTCCATCTCCATTCCTCTGCTCCCCTTCAGAGCAGAATTCCCCACTGAGTTGCCTGTGCATGCGGTCTCCATTTCCTCCCCTCACGTTCTCTCTAGAGCCAGTCCAATCAGACTCCGGCTTTTCCATCAGTCAAATGACCCTCATCTAGCCTGCCCACTGCAGCAGCTGCCCAGGGCCCACTCCCTCACCTTCCTGGCCTAGCTCCGCTCTCCTGGCCTTGTCTTGCAGGCGTTCTTTGAAGGTTTGCATCATCTGCCTGATGTGGAGGGCCCAGAGCCCGGTGTGGGACCTCTCCTCAATCATCCTGAAATACCGTCTTGTGCTGATGGCACAGATACACCCTTCAACTCAGACCTCACACATGAACTCCAGATCCACGAAGCAAACAGCCTGCTGGACAGCTCCCCTGGGTGTCTAGTCCCAACTGTATTATGCCAAACTGAACCCAATACCCACCCCACAACCAACCTGCTCCTCCCAGACTTTCCATCTCAATTTATGGTAACACCCAGTTGCTTAAACCAAAAACCTTCAGTCCTTGGTTTTTCTCTCTCATGTCCCATCTGTGGGCAAATTCTCTCATGATATATACACTGGCCTTTGCAGGGGCCTCCCTGCTCTGCTTTTACCCCATAATTATTCCCAATATCTGGTTAAAAAGCTCTCCCGATCATGTAATAACATACGTTAGGCCGTCTCTCTTCTGTTCAGAGCCCACCGAAGGCTTCCTGCTTACTCAGGATGGCTTTCCCAGCACCCCGAAGCCAGCTGCGCACCAGCCAGCACATCCCTCAGTGCCCCTCAGGTGCTCCTCGCTGCTCCTCACTCGCCCATCCAAAGAGGCCTCCCCAGCGCAGCAGGTACACACCCAGCTCGGGGCCCTTACACTCTGACACCGCCTGCCCCTCCACCACCTACTGCTTCTTCCATGATGTGGAATTACGCCCATTCAGTTACACCCACCTCCCTGCTCCCCTCTGCTGTTTATCGAAAAACACTGTCTAACTTACTACATGTGTAAAATGTTCACTTTGTTTACATTTGTCTCCCCTACCAGATCAGCTCCATCAGGGCAGGAATCTTCATTTTGCTTACGGCCAGCACGGCGCTGGCACACGCTGGCCCTCAGTGAACACACGCGATGAATCTGGTGGAAGAGCCCACTGTGGTTACACAGCAATGGAGGACTGGGAAGGTCAGCATTTCTACGTAAAAACCACGGACTACCACCTTCAAAGTTCGGTGTCTATGTTTTGATTTCAAGAGGAATGCACCATAATTAAGTCACAAACCTATTTGGTTGATGACTGTGGGCTTCATGTGAATGACACTTTCAGGTGCTGTCAGCAACAGACACAGCAGCTGTTCACCAGATGAAATACAGAGCTGCCAATGTAGTCATTTTTAAAGAAACTTTAAATTGGGGCACCCATACAATAAAGTCACAAGGCCATTAAAACAGGAATAAAAGCAAGGTTCCTGTAATTGAGCAACCCACTTAGCTTCAGCAGGAAAGGTTAACAAAGACACTACAGACTATCAGCTCTCGTTACATGAAAATGGCAGCAAGGAAAAACAACCAAACAAAGCCTCACTGTATGGGCACTGGGATATTCTCAGTCACTTTGAAAATGATATCACCTCATTAGGGATATCACAACATATGGGACTTTTTTCCCATCCATTTTTGGGAAGTCTTCATAGAGCGTTTCTTATATCAACCCTTGAATGAAGCCCGGATGCTGAATCTGATATGGAAAAGGTGATTTCCACGGGAGGCAGAACAATGCAGCCACGTGCAGAACCTCCCAGGGCACTGACCTGCTCTACTAGAATTATTTACCAGCCACCAGACACATGCAGAGTGATTAAAGAGACTCAGTCCACAAGGCATGAGCAAAAAGTTTGGCATATTCCTTATCTTAGAGGGGCCTTAGAAGTCATCTAGTGCTAACCTAACTTCACTTTATAGATGACAAAAATATAAATTGAATGCATTGCTCCGAAGGTTAGAAGTGTCTAGGAACAAGTACAAGAGAGAGAATATCCTAAATACAGGTCTTAGAGTACAATGACACAGAAAAAGACGCTAGGAGCAGGATAGGAATGATGCGGAAGGACCATCACCAAGGTCCTACAGCAGGCTCTAGCTCCCTGGAGCCTTAAAATTAACCTTGTGCTTATATAGGTATATGGTGGTGTGGACTTCACATTCCGTTCCCCCCCCGCCCCGCCCCACCCCACCTGAATGTCAAATCCACAATGCCATAAAAATCAGAACAGTAAATTTCCAATCCCATTTAAGAAAGTGACTAAGTAGTACCTACTTAAAAAGCTAAATCTCCAGAAACAGGAAAACCTCCAAGAAACTAAAGATCATTCAATTCTCTAGTCAAATCCTTTTGAATATAAGCATAGTAATAAAATAATTAAGAGCCAGTATGAAGTAAGCAAAGAAACCATTTTTTATTAAACTGAGATATGGGGGAAAGACTCAATTTTGCCTATTTTTCTCCCAAAATCAGTATGGGGTGGGAAGGAAAATATGCAAAGCATGAAATGGGGAAGAAAGAGAAATTTGACTAAATGACTGGTCAGATACTAAACAAACTAGGAAATTAGGAAGCAGCAAAAATACTTCTTCCTGTGGTTCCCACTTAGGAAAATTCAGGCCACATCGTTTCTTCTGTCTCCCCCACCTACCCACCCACCCACCCAGACGTTTAAGCTTAAAATTAGGAAAAGAAGGTCAAAGTAGCCTCAGAGGGCAGGTCCTTCCTCCTTACAATCAATATGTTTGATTAAATTTGTCATTTTTATTCATGCTTTCCAAAATATATAAACCTCCTCAGATATAAACCATAAATGCAGAAAATAGAAGAAGCTGGATTTAAGCTAACCCCACAGCACCCAATGTTATAATCCAGACTCAATGGTCTGAGGACCCCCCTTATCTTAAAATTAGTGAGGCCCCAAAACTTTGTGCTTGGATAGGTATATCTATCAACAGTTATCACATTTGAAATTAGAACAGAAAATGTTTAAATATTTCTTTATTCATTTAAAAATTATAAAAACCAACACATTACATATTAACATACAAAACATTTTCATAAAAAATAACTATAGTTTGCCAAAACAACAAAAGCAGCAAAATCTTGAGGGGGCATAGTTTGGCATTTTTACACATCTCTTTAATGTCAGACTTAATGGAAAACAACTGGATTCTCACATCTGCATCAGCTTTCAATCTGTTGCGATAGATTTTTCTGGTTGTTGCACAGGAAGAAAACCCAGCCTCACACAGAGGTGCTGCTGGGAAAGGGAAAAGTATGTATTTTAATAGCCTTCAGATAATTGTAGATATTCTT